TCTTTCCCTTTAGATGCCAAATGTTACCAGCCCAAAGACTGTGTGGGAATTTCAAGAAGCATAGATGGAGTTGGTTTCTAGCGTGGGAAGGTTAGATGGTCTTTGTGGATAGCGGAAAGAGAAATGTGCCACGTCTCCCAGGTAAGACTGGTTTCTGCAGGCACTGCCCCACCCGGAGAGGGGGGTCCGTGCAGGGCACGGTGGGGAAGCGCAGCTTGGAGCTCCTGAGAGTTGAGAGCGTTCAGCAGAGATGGGCGGCTGTTCGGGCAGCAGGTGGAAAGTGGCCTGTGTATGTGGCCAGAGCTGCCGGTGGCTCAGGAACTGCCCCCACCTCCAGACATCCCAGCTGCTAGCGGGATAGCAGAGGTGTCCAGAGCTAAAACTGATGGGGAATTCTTGCCCGATGCGGGCATGTGTCTGTCTTGCCGTAGCCGGCCAGGCCTTCCCGCGTCAGGCTCGGCATCTGTGCTGCACACTGATCCCCACCCCGGATCAGGGCCAGCTCTCAGGTGATGCAGCCGAGGAGGGCTGCGGACGTTCAGATTTCTTGATCACCTGTTTGGGCACGCTTCTGATTTCCTCAGCATTTCATCCCTGTCCTCTGGGCAGTGCATGTCTGCTCCTGGCATCTGTCTCTCATTTTCCTTTGTGAGCACCATGGCGATGAATTCATTTAATTTTTTAGCTACGTTTACGACTTCTGTCAATAAATTCCCCTAATGTTTACCTCCCAAAGACTCCACCACTTGCTTCAGTGACCTCCTGCGCCTTGTGTACTCAGCATTTCCTTGTCATTTATCTTAACTTCTTAGAACATTCTCCTTTCATTGCCTGCCAGCGAGTTTGTCATCCTGCTCCTCCTCTCTGCTCTGTAATCCTCCCTGCAGCGTGCTTCTCACGTTTCTCTGCTCTGCCCTTGGATACCATCCTCCCTCTGCGCCCTTTTGCAGGCTTCTTTCCTCTGTCTTCCTCTCACGCTTAGCACTAGATGGCAGGCACGTGTCAGTTTGTCTTTCAGCGAGTGCCCCCTCCATCCTGCTCTCCTTCAGTTGTTTTCATTCATCTGAATCTTCCCAGTGCCTGTAGCCAAAAAGGTCTCCTTGGCTGTTTCCTCCATCACTTTCTCTTGGTCTCAGTCACCAGTGCAACCGCGAGGTCATTTCAGCCCACCTGCCTCAACTGCTACTTGACTCCGAGCTACTCGAGAAGAGGCATTGCTTCCCTTTCTAAGGCTCTCCTGTCTGAAGGACGTTGGACGTGGCCTTGTCAATAGGACCACCTTCAGGTCCTGGTGGATCTGAAGTTTCCACTCGTGCCATGCAGCAGCCGTGCTAGTTCTGATGCAGCTCCTCTCACACACCCTTCATTTTCATTTCACTAGTTACCACAGCGAAGCCGCAAAGGCACACTGCTTTGTCCTTAAGGAGGTCAGGCTGGGTCCAAATGAGGTCTGTCTGTGGACCTATGACAATCTGTCAGTCTATTAAAAGAAATACAAGTTACGCCTGTTTCTTCTTATGGCTTTGATGAAACCTGGGTTGGAGAGCAGGTTCTGGAGTGATTTTTTTAGGAGGCAGAGACCTCAGGGGCACAAGCAGCCCCGGGGGTTAGAAAGGACTTGTAGGAAAAGCTAACTTTCTGCAGTATGGAAAGACCCGTGGGAAAGCCTTTGCCTAGTCAGTAATAGAGAGTGAGGATGGGGTCGACAG